CTGGAAGAAGGGAATACTGGTGTAACTCAGAAGGGAGTTGAAGTAATGCAAGCAGGAAGGAAATCCACAGTGACAGTTATAGGCAGCACTGAGGTTGGTTCAACCATAGCGCTGATCATCAAGGAGCCCAGTGCTGTGCCGGTCGTTCTGTACAGCCTGTTGAGATTGGCTTCACACCCTGCTGAGGTATGTGCCAGGCTCTGGTCCAGGGCTGGCTTGCATTTGACTGAGCTGAAAGGCAAGCAGTGTGAGCGTATGACTACCTGCACTGCCTATGCTAGCCTGGCATAAATGTTTTGACTAAGGACATACCTCACTTTTGTGGCTGAGAAAAAAGATAGAATAATAGAACTGATATATGTGGTATTCTGCTTTACGTTTCGAGTACAAAGACTGGCTTTCCTCTTGTTTTAGTATTTTGATCTAGAGAAAGTGATTTAACAAGCTGTTTAATTAGTGAATGGGCAGAGACAATCTGTTCCAAGAATTGTTGGCAGCATAGAAAAGGGCATAAAAGTTAAGAGCAGGTGAAGGGGACAAAAGAAATGTTAAAGAAATGTGTTTTCTTTGGCAGAATGCTCCAAAATGCAAAGCCTTGTGCGACAGATCAGATGACAGCATGTTCCATGCAGGCACATTATACTAGCACTAAAAATATGACTTTGTTTATCTAGCCAAAAAGATAAACAACTTGCTTGGAGTCTTGGGGATATTTGTCAGCAATTCAGAGAAGAAAATGCTTGGAAGATGGAAGAACCATCTGAGCTCACTGTGAAACGGCAAATGTTCCAGTGCTATTTTTGGTTGAGTAGTATTGTGAAATGGGAGGTGACACTACAAAATCTTGGAATAAGCATGTTTGAAATAAGCTGTTCATGGAAATATGTATGTTCCATATATTTAGAATATAGTCTAGTCTGATAAATTACTAGCATCCTTTGTTCCTATACTTAGTGTCTCCTACTCCTTTTTTGAAGGAATATGCTATATCCCTGTGGTCTCAGCTTGGGAAATTTATAACCTTGTTTGGTCCTTTTTTTTTTTGTCAACAGCCAGGTTAGAAAAGTTGTGCCCAGATTAATTCACATGAAAAGGACAGAAGATGTAAATGAATCCAGTTATCTGCTTTGATCTTTAGGATCAGAGAGAAGATGGGAAAAAAAAAATTCTTTTACTCTTGAAATTATTGGATAAGATCAAACCTGGTAAGACCCCCATGTATGTAATAGAAAATAAGGAGAAAAAGAAGTCACAATTCTTGCTGGAAAAGATGCATAAGAAAAGAATTCTACTGATAAGGGTACTTTCATGATAATATCTATGCTCACCCTCTTGGCACTAGAGCTGGTTGACAGTAGGTTGTTTAAATGAATATGAGCAAGATGATGCTGCTCAAGTCTTGGAAGACAAATGCAGAGACTGGAAGAATGAAGACCTTAGGCCCTCTGTAGGTGAGGATCAGGTTTGAGATCATCTTAGGAACCTGAATGTGCACAAGTCCATGGGACCTGTCTATCATAGTTGAAAAATCATGGCAGTCAGGTGAAGTTCCTGACAACTGGAAAAAGGGAAATATAGATCCCATATTCAAGAAGGGGAAAATAGAACACCTGGGGGACTACAGACCAGTCAGTCTCACCTCTGTGCCTGGCAAAATCTTGGAGCAGATTCTTCTGGAAGGTATGCTAAGGCACATGAAAAACAACAAGGTGCTTGGTGATAGCCAGCATGGCTTCACTAAGGGGAAATCCTGCCTGACCAATTTGGTGGCCTTCTATGATGGGGCTACAGAACTGATAGATAGGGGCAAAGCAGTTGACGTCATCTACCTGGACTTGTGCAAAGCGTTCAGCACTGTCCTGCACAGCATCCTTGTCTTTAAACTGGAGAGATACAAATCTGATGAATGGATCACTTGGTGGATAAGGAATTGCCTGGATAGCTACACAGAGAGTTGTGGTCAAATCACTCAATGTCCAACTGGAGACTGGTAATGAGTGGTGTTGCTTAGAGATCAGCATGATCAGGGGGCTGGAGCACCTCCCATATGAAGGCAGGCTGCAAAATCGGGGCTGTTCAGCCTGGAGAAGAGAAGGCTGTGTGGAGACCTCAGAGCAGCCTTCCAAAATCTGGACAGGGCCTACAAGGATGCCAGAGAGGGAATCTCCATCAGGGACTGTAGCAATAAGACAAGGGGTAGTGGGTTTAAACTTAAACAGGGGAAGTTCAGGTTAGATAGAAGGAAGAAGCTCCTTACTCTGAGGGTTGTGAGGCACTGGAACAGGTTGCCCAAGAAGTGGTAAATGCTTCATGCCGGGCAGTGTTCAAGGTTCAAGGTCAGGCTGGACAGAGCCTTAGGTGACATGGTTTAGTGTGAGGTGTCCCTGCCCATGGCAGGGGGTTGGAACTAGATGATCTTAAGGTCTTTTCCAACTCTAGCCATTCCATGATTCTATGTCAGTGGTACTGCCTGTTTACCTACTTTCAAGGTAGCTAAATGCTAAAAATCAGCACCTTCATTAGTAAATGGAAATGACCCCTCCCCATAAGTGAATATATAAGAGAAAACTGTTATTTCTTCTTTGATTCCTCCTTTAGTCTTTTCCAGATTAGCTCTAGGTGGTTTAAATTGAAGTCTCTGTTGTTAGCAGGCACTCATCTATTTATATTTGATTAATATCTTACAAATTATCTGCTTCTTCAGTGCCAAGAAAACTTGTTAGTAAAACAGAACTAGAAGGGAAAAAAACAGGCAATAGAAAACATCTATTTTTAAAGTGTTTTCATTTTACTGAAACTGCTATGAGATGAACTACTTTTCTTGGAGAAAGGCCTCTTTTACTGTCTCATTTTGACACGTCTAGAAAACTCTGTATTATGCCACAAAATGGGCTCAGAGGATGTGTTAGCCTGGCTGGAGTTGCTCAGCTGCTTACCGGTGTTGCAGTACATTTGGTACTGATTTACAGGCCATTTTGTCCACTCCTGTTTCTACCATGAGAAAGACAATCCTGACACAGAATTTTAATGTTACGGTTTGGGACTGGAGGAAGGATTACTCTGCATAACTTTGCTTTCCTTGTAGTGCTTGGCAGCTCCAAAATACTTTTTGTCTGAGGACTTCTGGTACTATACAGCACTGCATATGCCTCCTAACCTCAAGTGGAGCAAGGTGTCTGCCATTTCATTTTTATGTATCAGGAAACTGGAGCGTTTAGTAGAATTCAACAAGTCATGGTGGCCACACTAATAAGTAAACAACAGCTTGGTTAAATCCTAGTCCTCCATGACTAAAAGTGAGTATGTTGGTATAAGACACCATGTAACATGCATGGGATCAGTTGTTTTCCGTTCACCACATACAGTGTGTCTGAAATCCTGCTATTATGAACATGCATCCTTATCTCTTAAGGAAGCTAAATCATCCTTTAGGAATTTAGGAAATTGTTCAAAATGACTCCAGAAAAAAAGGCAGTAACAAGTCAAGGCAGGTTTTGTATTCTCATGTTGTTTTTCATCTTGGAACTCCAGTGGCAGTTTTTTCCATATTTTTTATTGGATTAACCTTATTTTTGGCATCATATTGCTAATCCTATTTAAATATAGGATCAGCCAGATGCAGAAAACAATGTGCAATGCGCACACACAAAAAGAAAAAAATTAAGTGTAGGGATCATCTCAGTTTTGGAACTAAAAGTATCTATGAAACATGGCTACCTGGGTTCTAAATGCAGAGCTTCCCAGATCAGATGAGCACCTCATGAGAGTCTGATGTTACACTCTAAAAGAAATGCTTGTGCTTTAGTGGAAGCATTAGTACTGTTCACATGCTGGTTAGATATTAACCAGCTCAGGCAATATCCCTTCTGTATATTACAAAGATATCTTCTGAGACCTTATTTCCTGTCTTGGCCATGTTCTAATCTGAAAATAGATCACATTTCTGGGTTAAAGAAGATGCTTGATTTGGAAAACTAATTTGAAAGTATGCGACTTCCTGTGACACCCACATTCCTTTTCCAGGATAAATACAGAATTTACACTGCAACTGTAATCAATCCACAGTAAGATATCTAGTAAGTTCCAGGTTTCTTGTGAAAATATCGAATTTTGAGTTTATTTACAGCAGAGAATATCTGCAATAAATATGCCAGAGTCAATTGTATTAATCCAGGCTTGCACCAATATTACTGGAAACAAATCTAAGTTTATATTAAATAAATTGAGAGTCTATATGATCTAGGAGTGTAAAATGTTGCAATTACACTGCCTATATTTGTATTCTGTTTACAGCAGCCAGTAACCCACATACTCTTTGATCAAGAGCTTTCCAGTGTGGATTGATGTAGGTAATTTTGTCTCAGGTTGTTTGGTATTTGACATAAATCCTTGATTTTGGAAGTAAACTGATAATACAGCTATCTATTTTTTAACTTTAATTGTTTGTGAATGAAATTCTGAGCGTGGAAAACCAACCCATGAATTATTGATACTTTTAACATTCAATTCTGTTTTTTTTTACAGGAAAGAAAGGGTTTATTTTCATTTTAGTCTTGGTCATGCTTGTTGAATGCTTGATGTTGGTGAGCAGTATAGGTGTATGGATATGTATGGATATGTGATATGGATATATGAATGTGCATTTTTTTCTTACACATTGAAGCTGGAGTGTACTGGAGCCTTTCTGGAGCTCAGGGCTGTTCTTCCAGCCTTTGTTTCTTAGCAGTTAGTAACTGCCTAGTGCATGGATAATGGGAAGCATAATTTTCTGGCACCAGAGGTAGAGGTTCACAATTACCCAGGCAGGGCTCTCACTAAAGGGAAGGGAAGGTTGTATTCCATCTAATAAGCTCAAAGAAGGCAGAAAGAGGTATACCAGATGACACCAGCACAATCACTCTGCTGTTTACAAGGTATGTGACTGATCCAGAAATCCACTCAAAAATATAGTTTTTTCCTTTTTTTTTTTTTATTTCTTTTTTTTTATTTCCTGTTTCTAGAAAAAGCAAGTGAGTCAAACAAAGATCCGGGTGATCTCTACCATTGTCTTCATCCTGGCAGGCTGCGTTGTCTTTGTGACCATTCCTGCAGTTATCTTCAAACACATCGAGGGATGGACAGCCTTGGAGTCCACCTACTTTGTGGTTGTCACTCTGACTACTGTTGGCTTCGGTGACTTTGTAGCAGGTGAGCAGCTTCCATCCTAGCCACTGTGCATGGAAGCATTGGTTCTTAGAACTGGTTTTCTGGTATAGAGAGGAGGCTTTTCGTAATGTATTATATTCCAGGTGTTTCTGTTGGGGTTACTGTGCAATAGGACACCAGGTTGATTTAAGATCCAGGTGTTTTGGCATCTGCAGATTACAAGCTTTCATCAGTGTAGATAATGGGAGCATGGGAAGCCCTGATTATCCTTTATGGGGCAATGAATTATGCACAAGTCAAATTACTCTCCCATTGGATTCAAGATTTGTATTAGTCCATTAGGGCTCAATCTGAGCCTGACTGCAGAAGCAAGTAGCCAAAATGATGAATGGATGAAGCTGTTACAAAGTAGGGCTGAGCCATAGGGCTGGTGAAATCTTATTGAACACAGTAGTGGCTGCTACTACAGGAGCTGCAGCTTTTCAGAAACTACATTCTCTAACCTTGTCAGAAAGTCTGACATTGCAGTTGCCTTGTTAAGGAAGACTCATGCAGGAAGAGAAGGACTGATGGGATATGCATCTCAGTGCTAGGAGGATACTCTCCAAGATTAATACAGTGATGGCAGGAACTAAAAATACCCATGCTTATCAGTTTCCAAAGAGGGAGTCAAGATTGTTGGCTGGAAAGATGAGATTTTTTTTCCCCCCATACAACTGCTTTGCTAACAAGTTGGTTAAATAAGTGGATTTTTTTTTTCCCCATTACTGCATGACCTCTACTCTTCATTCCTGTTGTTAGTGGTCCTAATTAAAGGCATTAAGATCCCCGTGTTATAGCCATATTACACTACTGTTTTGTTACATCCTATCAGTGAAATACAAATGGGTTAAAAACATCAAATGAAACTACAGGGATATGTAGTTTTCTTTGCTGAACAGCTGCAGACAAGTCGTTTTGTAGAGAAGACTCTAATCCTTTCTTATGACATAGTGGTATAGAAGACATGAATTAGTGAGGAAAAAAAGGCACTGAACAAAGAAGGCCCCAGATATGAAAAAGAGGTGTTTTACAAGCATTCAGATGCAGAAATGATTGAGCTTGGTCCATTTTAACCTCTTAAATGTGAAGAGAAGCTCACTTTGTGGTGAAGCTCTGTCTTTGTGGTACCACAGTGTGAAATAAAAACAATTTACAGTTTTTTTCTGAAGCATATCACACTTCAGTATTGGTGTGGTTTTTTTAATAATAGAATAGTAAAAATAAAACAACAACCAAACTCTGAACATTAAATGCTTATATCCAGCAAGATTAGGAGAATATGATTCGCAGCTGGGTGGCTACTAACAACCAGGATTTTTCAAAAATCAAATAGATGATCCTGAATAAAAAAACTTCAGAGGCAATCTCATGATAAGAGTTTAAGGCAGATGATCACCAGGAGATTTGGGTTTTATTGCTGGTTTTGGGGCAGATTTTCTGTCACTTTTATTTTCTGTCACTTTAGTCTCTCAGTATCTCTGTCTCTTCAACATCAAATAAAAAAATATTACACTGTATTGAGCAAAACAGCATCAATGGAGCTATACTGATTTATTCCACCTAGAATATGTTCCAGCTCTTGGCAGACTGGAAGGTTTTTGTACTACTGATGGAGATAAAATTGTGGATGGAGCCTGAAAAAAAACCAGAATATCTGATAGGCTGAAAAAAAGTGGTCTCATACTTTCTCAGCTGCCTGATTACTCTGTAAGATAGACCTAGACAATCTGTTTTATAGCAGGTTTCCTTGGGGACACATATGATCAGAAGAGCCTCGTTGTACTGTAGCAACAGCAGCTCCCACCTCCCATTGTTTCACACTCTTAAAGACTGGGAAAAAGAAAATGATTCATGAAGTCTATGGGAAGAGATTATCATCAAACCCAGTATTTGGGACCCTGCTAATTCTTAGATGTCTGACTTTCCATGGGGATGTTCAAACACTGTATGTACACTCATACTGAGTCTGGATAAAATCACAGAGTTGGGAATGTCTCAGACTGCAAAAAGCTCTGGGGTAAATGCTGAACTGCGTTGTCTGCTGATGGAGGGGAAATCCTAGAATCCCTCTGATGTCTAGCTCTTGTCTAATCAAGGCTGGAGTCCAGGAAATACACAATCTTCTTCCTGAGTCCCCTGGTAGACTTGCTCTTCAGGCAGAGGTTTTACACAGGTACCACCAAGGTGGTGTTTGTTCTCCTGCACTGAAGGATATGGCTGTGCTCATGGGCCTGAGCAGACTCTGTTGCTTGTTCACTTCACCTCAGGGCTGTGCCTGCTTCTCACTGGTTCTCATTCTTGCACTGTGCATAGCACTGTGATAGGGCTGGGAGTCTCAAATGTGAGGTTGTATTTGCTTTCTTTTGAAAAAGCTTACTCTGCTCTGTGGTAGGCAGCAGTGTGGCTGCTACTGCATTTATTTGAGGCTCTTTGTAGTTCTTTAGATATGTCACCTCATCTCAAGACTTGCATGAAGACCGTATAGGGTATTTGTTGCTTCACTTGATCTGTATCTCCTCTCAAGTCACTGCTCAGAGAATACAACCCTATAACTGATACCCAAGCAGACAGTATATCCTTATTCTCAGGGCTGATGGACAGTTGGCTTTCTGTCAGGCATCCTGATTTGGAGAGGAAGATACTTTTCTTTCTCCTGCATATAGGTCTCTCAGTCCTGAGGCTAAACCCATAAAATATGGAACTATAACCTGAGGGAGCTGAACTGTAAAGTTTCTCAGCTACCAGGCTGCAGGCAGTTTAGAATAAGGAAGGCTAGCTGTATTAAACTTTTTTCTTGAGAATGTGTTCATGCTGTTGCAGGTACTATCAAAGTAGGAATTTCAGACTTGCTTCAGAATATGCGTAATCGAAGAAAAGTGGTTACTAGGTGCTCTGGCAAGTCTCATAGCAGCAGAACAATAGATAATTTTGACAGGTCTTAAATTGAGAACAGACTGTGTTCCTCCCATCTGACAGGCCTCTTGGCTATTATTAGAACTACAGTGGTGTTGGCAAGAGTCAAGAAATACTTCCAGGCATTTCTCAGAATTGCAGTTATTTTGTCATAATTTTGGCATCTCATGATTCCTAAGCATAAGTATATGCTTATTTCAGGAGGAAATTCTAACATCCATTACCGGGAGTGGTATAAACCCTTAGTGTGGTTTTGGATCCTTGTTGGCCTTGCCTATTTTGCTGCTGTCCTGAGTATGATTGGAGACTGGCTAAGAGTCCTGTCCAAGAAGACAAAAGAAGAGGTATGACTAGTCATTTTTCAGTGATTTTTCATTTTATGAGAGCTTTAAGTGCTTGATTCCTGCTTGTCCTAAAGAAGGATGCCTCTCTGCATGACCAGTGCTCAATGTTCCCCATGGTTTACTTCACTGGCTGCCTTTGGTATCCAGTTCGCTCTGATCTTTAGGGAGGAAAAGAAGCAACAGAAGCAACCTAGGTTCTTCCACCTCTACCAGTACTACCAAATACACAGAACACATCAGTAGGATTGCAATTATCAAATAAGAAAGGCCAGTCTTCACTCTGAAACTAGCTACAAAATTGTGCTAAGAATGTTAATGCTCTCCCCTTAAAAATTGGAGATGCGTGGGTTTTGAAGACATTAATTGTCTCTCTTCATTAAGAAACAAGAATCTGCCTTCAAAACAGTGATTTATATTGAGTTTTTCTACTTTTCCTTATGCCAGGGAATACGGTCTGAATAAAGGTTTAGATTCAGGCCCCTTACTGAGTACTGTACTATTTAAAATTGAAGAAACTGAGTACTCAGCATTGGGGAGAACATGATTAAATTAACTCAGAGCATGTTTTCCATGATACAAAGACAAGGTTGGACAATAGTAAGCAATTGCATGACTCCTGAGCTGAAGACTGTTGGGGAGGATGTTAATAGAATTTCAGTTTTTAAGGCAATCGCCTCCTGCACTACCAGCAAAACTAACCTGGCAGGGTTAACCAAAGAACAGGCATAGACAAAGTTTGGCAGAGGGGTAGTGCTGGTTATTTTCTTATGAAGTCATCTGTGCGACCTGAGGCCCAGTGCCTCCTCTTTGCATCTCCATTGATAAAAGGGGGCTTAACAGAAATTTTGGCTGTCAGGTTGAGCATCAGCAGGCACCTAGAGGTGTGAATCTGGTATCTCATGGTGGATGTGACATGCTTGCTGCCATCAGTAATGAAGTGCTAAATGGATACTTGGTCATCTGGCCTGAGGAATCAAAGATGACCTCTTTGGGGATCACTGAATGCAGAACCCGAGTTACTCAATTCAGTAGCCATGGAGGTTCTTTGTTCTTAGCTTTATTCTTACACTATTACATGCAAAGGAGTAAAACAGATCAAAGCAGTGAGATATTTGAGGATTTGCTTATGGTGCCCATACAGAATATGTTTTGAAGACTCCTCCAGCTGGCTTGAGAGGGTGGTATTTGGATAGTTATGCGATTGAAACCTCCTTTTAAGACTGTAGACTGGATCAGTCAGCAGACCACTTACAATTATCTAACAGGTATTTCCAACATTAATTGGCACTGAACAGAACCTTTAGTGGGATTGAACAGCTCCATCCATGAGCAATATGGGAAAATACATTACTGCATTGCTATCCTGGTTGTTGTGCTGTTCTGAAGCACATTTGGTATATCTCTGTATGTGATTAATTTTCCCTAGTCCCAGCCATCTCCACTGACATTATAAGTCAGGAATTTTCTTCTTAACCAAGAGGGGATTATTAGTGTGAACACCCCCCATCACATAACTGCTATAAAATGTGTGAGGTGGCAAAACGTGAAACAGGCAGACAGGTTTATGCCACATAAGACATTACCCAGTAATGAGTTGGTACATTTACAGCTTGCCCAGTATAACCACTTTGATCCCGAAGTTTGGGTCCAGATGGATGCACTGGAGGTGGGACTGGTCTGTGATTTCATGCCAGAGAAGGAAGTGCTTGCACTGCTATTGTATAGGAAAGGCTGTAGCCCTGGTTTTGGTTGTGTTTCTTTTTTTTTTTTTTTGGTTTGGTTTGTTTTTTTTTTCCTTTTTTTTATTCATTTCTGTCTCTTGTTGTTATAAAGGTTGGAGAAATAAAAGCCCACGCAGCGGAGTGGAAAGCAAACATGACGGCTGAGTTCAGAGAGACACGGAGGCGGCTGAGTGTGGAGATCCATGACAAACTTCAGCGGGCAGCCACCATCCGGAGCATGGAGCGCAGGCGCCTGGGCCTGGACCAGCGAGCCCACTCTTTAGACATGCTCTCTCCAGAGAAGCGCTCTGTCTTTACTGCCTTGGAAGCAGGGCGCTTCAAAGCCTCATCTCAGGAAAGCATCAATAACAGACCTAACAACCTGCGCCTTAAAGGGTCAGATCAGCTCAACAAGCACGGGCAGGGAGCATCTGAGGACAACATCATTAACAAGTTTGGATCATCTGCTAAAATGAGCAAAAGGAAAAATAAAGACCTCAAAAAGACTATCCCTGAGGATGTGCATAAAATTTATGAGACCTTCCGAAACTACTCCTTGGATGAAGAAAAAAAGGAAGAGGAGACAGAGAAGATGTGTAATTCTGAGAACTCTTCTAGCACTGCAGTCCTGACCAACTGCATCCAGCAGCACTCAGACCTGGAGAATGGAGTGATCCCCAATGAAACCAAAGAAAGGGAACACGAAAACAAAGTGTTACTTGAAGACAGAAATTAAATGTAAAAGATGCTTGACTTAACAATGTTAGTGGTTTTATATACATATATATATTGAGACACGTGCCTTATACAAACTCCTTGTTCAGTCTGAATTATATAGCATCAAAGAATATTTCACTGTGCCATAAAGACTCAAGCTTGCTCTGCCAAAACAAATCAGGAACACAGCACTGCAGAATGGCAACAGAAAGCTACGCACATGGAAATTTCAGCCTGTATAAAATTACCAGGGTAAGACACAAATGAAGGGATAGAACCATGGTAGTATCACCAGAGTGCTTCTGCCATGGTCTACTATTAGACAAAGGGCAGCTACGTAAGAAGAGCCTTTCAAAGGGATGAAAAAGTGTATCTTTCTAATGGAGTATGCATCCATAAAACCTTCCCCTGGTGATTGAAAAGAGGAGAAATGATCGGAGTGAACTAGAAACTCTCAGTAAGGCTTAGTTTACATTTTGGCACGTGATCCAAGCTAGATTTCTAGATTAACTTTTTTTTTTCCATTTTTGAAACAGATGCATTATCTTTCTAACCTCCAAAAGAATGTCCATGGACACAGCACCAGCTTGGTGCTGGTTTGAAAAAACAACACAGACACATTTAAGGGTCGGATTGCTCTTTTCATTAACAACAAACAAACAAAAAACCCCAAATAACTCTGCGGGTATTTCTCATAACCACTGACAAAAAAAAAAAAACAAAACAGGAAAGGAAACAAATGGATTTTTTTTTTCTCATGTAAGAAATACTCAATGTAATGTCACAGCAGGAAATTTCATATGAAGAAAGTGCAACATCTTGTGCTACGTTGCTTAAAAGAAGAGAAACATTAATGATATTTGGCTAGGTGTAAAAAACAGTGGTTCTTTTTTAAAAGAATTTCTCATTCATACTTTCTACCACTGAAAAAAAAAATATTCAATTTTAATGCTGTAAGACTATGAAGGCAGAAGGAAAGCTCTAGCTTTTGCATGTCAGCAAACTGCTGTTCTCTGTAGCTGATTCTGAATTTTTAAAAATAGACATCAAGCATATACGTTATCCACATGAGGGCCAGGGCAACTACAGAATCTCAGGGCTCTCTGCCCCTTTTGCTGGGTTTGGATTTAGACATAAGCTGAGTCACAATCTCAGAAAAGAAAAAAGGGAAAAAGAAAAAAGAAATTTAGGAAAAGAAGTTGAGAAAAATACGGTGGTAATCTTTTAAGTGCTCATAGCTTTAAGTGCCATTAATGCTGTCATATTTTGTAACTTTTTAAACAAGTATTTTGAATTGTTTTATTTCCTTTCAGGTACTACCTTTGTTTGACATTTACTATCTCTTTTCTTGATAAAATCTAAACATGCGCTCCCTGCATTTCTAGACTAAAGTGAAATGTAACCAAACTGTGGGAATTTAAAAAAAATCCTGGACTGATGGATATAAGAAATGCAAATGTCCCTAGACTTCACAGTGAATACTCAAAGAAAAGGCTGCAAAGTAATTAATGGGAATTGCAAAACTCACCTCAGTAGCCTCAGCCTGTCGGCTACTATGTTTACCATTGCAGATAGAAGACTTTGCATGCTGGAGATGAGATACACGTTTGTACCAATGATGCTCTCCCTGCGCCTTCACAAAATCCTAACTATTCCTGCAATTCAAATTGTAGGCTTAAAAATAAAGTAAACATGGATGCAGATGTCAGAGACAAACCAATCCTTACAAGCTAGTCAAACATACAGGCACTTTAGGTTATACAGACACAGACTTTTGGAATCGCCTGCCCATGTCTATGTACACAAAAATGCATGCTTCATTTTCTGTGGTAGTGTCTGAGATTTTGTGCACAATGAGCCAACTCAAAATCTAACTAGTCACCAGAATACGTGTTTGCCATGGCTATGAAGAGAAGCATGGCCGCCATGCAAATGCAAATTTTGAGTATACATACTTGCAAATCTAATTGACTTTTAACTATTCATAGAAGTGAGCCAAATTCTACTAGTGCAGTGGGAGAAAGAAGTTCTTAGTATGTTCTGTCTGCTGGTTCACTTCCCTTGAAATATCATCTTTCTAATTTCATTATCTGTCAAAAATTAAGGATGAAAAAACAAGGTCTAAAAAATCTCAGGTCATTTGGGATTGATTTAACTCAATAAAATCCAACAGAAATTGAATTCTGCTTAGTTCACCAATGAATCTCTTAAGGTGAGGTGCTGTACTCTGGCTTTAGTTTACTTGAGGCAGGGCAGTAAGCCCAGTCCCAGGGAAAGTTTCATCTGACTTGAGAGCTGCTGTGGGTCCTGGAAATTTTTGTGCCATGCAGCCCTGCGGCTTCACAATGATGCAGATGGCAGCTTGTGACCATTCTCAGATCCTACCTCCAGATTCTGTCCTCCTCAAGCCACAGGCAGACACTAGCAGGTCTGTTCAAGAACTGGAGTCCTTTAGCCCTCCTGTTGTTCCTGGTTTTGGGTAGGCCTGGGATGAAGTTCAGCCTAGTGCCCTGTAAGTAAATCTGAAGTCCCTCCCAGAAATACAGTGAATCATCTTGTGCTAACTCTATAGTACCAGGATGGTTGAAGTATACTTGGATGTACTCGTATGAAGGATCAGGTGCACAGAAGTATCTCATGTGACTTGAGAAGCATGTAATACACATAGACTGTGCTAACAATTCTCCTTACTAAATGCCAAAACTAACATCATGCATGTGGTGTTATTTGTTCCTCAACTGAGTTCTTCTCACAAGAAATGCTTGCCTGTAATGGAGAAGTCCTGCAGAGACTCACAGGCAGCTCTAAGGATATTTCCTGTATGTGAAATATAAGGCATAGTTACAGCCAGAGCATTTCTGCTGATTAGGGCCAGGGAAAGCAAAGTCTGTCTTGCAGGACTTGTTTGTGTGAGCAGGGAGTTGGATAGTGGGCAAAACATGGAAAACAGGTTAACATGGACAAAGTGAGAAGGCAAGGTTTGGTGGCCAACTTCAAAACTGTTTGCTCTGTTGGAATAGGACAATGAAAGCTTAGCATATTTTTATCTCTAAACTTTCTAAGTCTGATTCTGTCCAGATTCTATCTGATGATGTGCGTGCCTCACTCCAGTCTCTGCCTGTCCATGCCACGTGAGAGCTACATTTTCTCAGCTGTGTCTTCAGCAGTGCCTGATTTGGGATATGATAGTTTCAGGGAAAAAGGGTAATGCTGAATAAACTTTCAGAGAGATACTGAACAGAGCATTTGATGACCTTTTAAATGAAAGCAAAATGCTCTCTTTCATTCCTTTCCTGTTCTATGTCTGTGAAACTTGCTAAGAAAGCTGCCAGTCTGCTACTGGAGTAAATTCTTCTGTATGACTGCCTATTAAATACCTCAATACACATACTTTTTATTATAATATGGGAAGTGCAAATGGTGTATTGCAAAGGGGGCTAAACAGAAATGCCTGACAACTAAAATGACATTTTAATGTCCTAAATTTCTTCTCCCCTTGTAAAGGCCATCCCTTGGTTTTAGTTGTATGCAACAGCTTGAGAGAGAATCTCTGTTCAAGCACGTATTGTCTTTATGGCTGAAATTCTCATCCTTTGGCATTTACTAATGCTTATAAAAACTTGTGATGCTATGTGTAGTGGGGTTGCTCCACCATTATTGAAAGTTTTAGAAAAAGGTAGTCTGAACCACATCCGATGGTTCTAAATTACACTCTTTCACAGCAGCCTGAATATAGAAAGCTAAACAAAAGGGTGACATAGTGACTTTAACTCTCAGATTCTGCCTTGAGCACAACGTGGCTTGACATGGGAACTGGGACCTGAAATAACAAAGGAAACATGGAATGTCTGTAGCCACAGCCTTCACAAACAGAGGGCAATTCAGATTCTCTTCTCCTACAGTTTTCAGCTCTGCAGACCCACTTTCTTCTGTCTTGTGCAGGAGAATTCTGGCATGCTACTTTGGGGATCCTCCTGAACCATCACTGGACTTATGCAGGTTTTGCATGAGTGGTTTTGAAAAGATTTGTATCTTCATCCATGTGGCAGTCTCTGAATTTCATTATCCTTTAATAGGGAACATTATTTCTAATAAATGTTATTAGAAATAACAGGAAATAACCGCCACCAGTGATTTGTATTCATGAAATCTGATTTTGGTCGTTGCTATGAAATTATAAATCATCTGAGCTTCTGCTGTCTGGCTTTATGATGTCTCTAGTAGAAGTCTGCTTCTTCCAAAGCCATTAATGAGCTATGCCAGAGATTTTCTACAAAATTTTCTAACCTACAATAAAATATGTCTGTGAGTTCAGGGTGTTAAAAACCCCGTCCTTAAAAACCCTGCATTTTCCTGGAGAGTTTGTGTTTATGCTGTAAATGGGGTGTTTGTTTGCCAGCTTTGGTTTTCTCAGGGGTGTATTTGTGTTGTCAGGTTGCGTGATGTCTGCTGGTCTCACTTTTCCTATCATCCACTAAAAATAAATAACAGGCAAAACTCAAGCTTTATGTTATGCTGCCTACTGACATAGAACAAGAAGTCTTCTACTAAATAGGTATGAATTTGAAACGTGATTGGGAACTGCTTCAGCCCTTCTTGTACATTTATTTGTTCTGAACTATGTTTTGTTTAATCTAAGGCCAAAATCTGTTCCCATCAAATCAGCGCAGTAAAGTGGAGCTAGTTTATTATTTCTAAGCTTTTTAGAGCAAAAACCTGCTGTTTTGACTCATCTCTATAGTGCCATTTACACTTACTGGGATGGCATTATATCAGTGCTAAATACAGGTAAGGCCAGCCTTAGAAACAGTTTCCTAGCAATTAAACATCAGTGATAATACAAAGCAAATCAACACAAATCTATGAAACTCAAATAAAGGCTTGCAGATTAATGTATGAAACTAGTTACCTGAAATATAGCAGCAAAACAATGCAGATCTGAAATTTCCTTTAGGTTGCCTAATTCTTCCCAAAGTCCCCAATTCCTTTACTATCAGTAGCAATCATTCTCCTCAATACCATTGCTGAGCTGGACCATATGTTTTTTTTCCTCCTGCCAGTGCAACTGAAGTACATAATGATGTTAGATTATTGCCTAATGCTGTTGAAATCAAACAACTGAGGAAGCAGTTGTGAAAGCTAATTTGGAGTTCTGATTTAGCCAGCACATGCTCTGTGAGCTGAATCATGCTGGGTTGAGAAGGTCACTCTAAAGACAGGTCTTATCCACAACATGGTGAGTTCTCAGACACCAGTTTAAAAAAGGTCCCCAGTGAACATGTGCACATGTCCAACCTTCGCACGGCCCATGTAATCGGTTCTTGCATGTGGATTTAGTGGCGATGCCTTCACTCTCCATGCAGGTAGATGTGAAATTCTGTGCTCTCTCATCTTTGGTTACAGGTCACGTTTGAGCTGAGTCTTATCACCAGGAAGTAGCAGTGCTTTCAGGGGAAAGCGAACGTATCTCTAGCAGGTGGCCTTTTGAGGCAAATAGGATCTGCTTTCCTTGGCTCAGGTCCTTGAGAGCAAATCACAGGCAGGTGATATTTGGCATGTGAGAGAGAACACTTTAATCTCTCAAATATATTCCACCCACACACTCGTTTTTTCCCTTGTGAGAGCTGGGTGCTTAAAGAGGAAAGCTTACAGTGCCTGTTGTGAGATGTAAGCCAAACATACCAGATTTCAGACTACCATTTAGCAGTTTCCCAGATCACGGAGACATGTAGTAGCTATAATTAGAAAAAGACAGGATTTGTATCTGGATCACAGCTTACCAGCAATTTAAATTTATTCAGGCCAGGGTTTCAATGTAGTTTTAAATGGATTTTTTTCAATGTTCTAACAGAATTTGATCTGGACCTTGTGGTTATAATGAGGCTGAAACCTCATTATCAGTGATTTTTCAGCCCTGCAATTGAAAAGAACTTCCTTAAAATTTTGGGAAACTGTTTTGGTAGGATGCTGACCTATTTTTCCTGATCAACTTTAGATTATAGTATAAGCAATCAGTAAATCTACTTGCAAGCATGTTCTATCTACACTTTTGTCTCTGTCCCTCTTACTCTCTGTCCATAAGATTTTATAGTGCTTTATAAAGGCATTTTCAGAAAAGGGACAATTCCATAAATGTCATTACCAGGGTACCGAGCAGAATGTGCTTGTGCCATCTTGATAAGTTTTGCTGCTATTATCTTTATTTTATGATGTAATGTTTTACAAAAATGAAAAAAAGAAATTGCAACAAAGACCTTCTGGATGATGAAACCCCTTTTCCTGTTGTTTTTTTTTCTCTCTGTTGTCTTATCATCCATCAAGAGTAGAGGAGCTGTAAGTTTCCCTTTTGTGGGTTATTGTGGAAACAGTGCATTGCAGGTAATTTCACTGTTCCTGAACCTTCTTGCTTCTTTTGCTACTCCTGCCTTTTCTCTTTGGTTGACAATCCAGATTATGTTGCTTTCTGGATCTCTAATTTGGGAAGCTGGGCTGGTTTCAGAAGAGAAGCACAAACTCCCAGCCATACTTGTGCTGAGCCACGTTTCTGCATCTGGTGACCAGTCAGTAGAGAAGCAAGAAGCAGAGGTTTGAGGATGCACCACTTCCCTTTCCTAGTCTCTATCTGTAGAAATTATTTGCCAGGATGTCTGGAAGAAGTTACTTATGCAGAGAGGAGCTGAAGCTCTTTTGACCTTTGGAAGCACAGAGAGAGTTGGGGTTGTCTTTTACTGTGAACTCTCTTGTGTTTTTGCAGTTTTTTTGGTGTCTTCATGTTGACTACCTTCTATGTGAGGCCTTGGTTTCCCCTGCTGCCTTGTCTTGTTTCTGTCAACTTGGGAAACTACAACACAGGCCAGTCACAGTGTACTCGCAGAGGGTACAAACTCTTGCACTGTGGTTCTTTTGTCAGTAAATGGGGGTGATAAAAATTTCCTGCAAGCATAGTTGATACTTCTATACAGTGTACATAGAGACCCCCCATGGCTGAGCCTTCCCTTGGAAAAAAAACCTCTGGACTGAGAAAAAAAATATCTCCCTTGGTTTTGTGCTACTCTTTATAAGCTGTTCATGCTACACAGTCCATACTGGTTCTTTCTACTTGTTGTGTATTAATTGCATAAGTCAAAACATATTTCTCCAAAACCCATCTATTTCCAAATTGTCTCTTCCCCTATAAGCATGTGTCTCTTAATCAGATCTGCTTTATCTACTCTGTATTTTTTCTGGCAAAGATGGTTGTTTACATTTTCTAGTTTACTCACATTCTCATTCTGCTTGTTCACTTGATTTTCATTTCCAGGGCATACCCTTATCTAGCTACAACTGTTTTCTCTGTGACTTCTTGTCTGGGACATACAGAAGGCTGCTTTGTTTTAAGAGTCTCTGGGCAAGCTGATTTATCTAACCAGCTGGTAATTGTTCCTAGAGGTGATTGAGAAAGACAGTGAAAAAAACAGAAAAAAGAAAGAGGGTGGATGTGTTGTTAAAGTTGTGAAATACCTTTTTTTTTGCTTTAGAATCTGTATGCAGGACGATAAGGATTGTACTAGATTCTTGCTGAAACATGATTTTCTCAGTACAGTCTGCTGTTTTGCATAA